AGCCATAAAGAAAGATGGAGACTTTACATCCTTCATGTTTACATGGACGGAGCTGGAAAATGTTCTTCTTAGCAAAGTATCACAAGAATGGAAGAAAAAATATCCAATGTACACAGCCCTATTATGAAACTAATTTATAGCTTTAATATGAAAGCTATTACCTAATTATAACCTAAGAATATGGGGAGGGGGAGGGGAGATGGGTGGAGGGAGGGTGATTGGAGGGATCACTTCTATGGTTTATCTTACAAGGGTACAAGCGAATCTTTCTAAGACTAGAATATAAACCTCTTAATAACTAAGAAAATGACATAAAGGCTATGTTAACCAGTTTGATGAAAGTATTTCAGATTGTATATGAAAACACCACACTGTACCCCATGATTGCATTAATGTACACAGCTATCAATTAATAAAAAAAAGGGAAAAAAAGCACCTTGGCGGGGGGGAAAGAATCTCAACTTACCTGAAAGGCTAAAAGTGGACTCAAGATGAGGGATGGACATCTATAATACAGGCAAATGGAAATCAGAAAAAAACAAGGGTTGCAATTTTAGGAAAGATAAGGATGGTCACTTTATATTTGTCAAGGGAAACACTCAACATGAAGAGATTTCAATTATTAACATTTATGTGCCCAACCAGAATGCTCCTCAATTTATAAAGGAGACCCTAACAGACATAAACAATTTGATATCTTCCTGCACCATAGTTGGAGATATTAACACCCCTTTGGCCATGTTGGATATATCCTCCAAGAATAAACTAAACAAAGAAATATTGGACTTAAACTTGACCCTACAACAAATGGACTTAACAGGCATCTACAGATCATCCTAACAAAACTGAATACACATTCTTCTCATCAGCCCATGAAACATCCTCCAAAATTGATCACGTCTTAGATCACAAGTCTAACCTTAGCACATTTGAAAGAATAGAAATTATTCCTTGTATTTTCTCAGACCACCACGGAATAAAAGTTGAACTCAACAACAACAGGAATCTTCATACTCAAAGACATGGAAACTAAATAAGCTTATGCTGAATGACAGCTGGGTCATAGATGAGATTAAGAGGGAAACTACCAAGTTTTTGGAACAAAACGACAATGAAGACACAAATTATCAGAATCTGTGGGATACTGCAAAGGCAGTCCTAACAGGGAAGTTTATAGCGTTGCAAGCCTTTCCCAAGAGAATGGAAAGAGAGGAAGTCAACAACTTAATGGGACATCTCAAGCAACTGGAAAAGGAAGAACATTTCAACCCCAAACCCAGCAGAAGAAAAGAAATAACCAAAATTCGAGCAGAATTAAATGAAATTGAAAAAAAAATCATTCAATAGATCAATGAATCAAAATGTTGGTTTTTTAAAAAGATTAACAAAATTGATAAATCTTTGGCTGACCTAACCAAACACAGAAAAGTAAAATCCCTAATATCATCAATCAGAAATGATAAAGCTCTATTCTCAGAAATATGAAAATCTGAAGGAAATAGACCAATACCTGGAAGCACACCAACTTCCTAGACTCGGCCAGAAAGAATTGGAAATGTACTGAAATAACATCAATTATATGCAATCTCCCAAAAAAGAAAAGCCTG